GTATCTGGTAGAAACTTTAGTTAATGTAATATAGTAACTAGACACCCCACACTTATAAGAATTAGGTAAAACAAAAAGTCTGCTCCAGATACAAAAAGGACAAAGTTCACCACAGGTACTTGGCAAAGGACACAGGGAATGTGATATAAACATTCCTTTCCCTGCAAAGAAACATTTCTTTCCCAGAAAAAAGTAGCCCTGGTACATTTCTTTTCCTTCATTAAACAATGATCTAGTACAGAACAAGGCATTATTTAGAGCAGCTGCTTCCCATCTGAAATTATAAAAACAGTTGTTTTCTGTCAAGCTGACTCGGACTGACTCCTGGCTACCCCACGTGTGCCAGAGTAGAATTGTGCTGCAGAGGGGTTTTCAGTGGTTGATTTTCAGAAGGAGATCACCAGGTCTTTCTTCTGATGTGCTTCTGGGTGGACTCAAACCTCCAACCTTTCAGTTAGCAGATGAACACTAATGATGGTTCATCATTTGCACCAGGGACTTGAAATTACAAATAAAGTTTAAAAGCACAGATGTACATGCCCTAGACCAAAGCTCCCACACACATGCAGGGAGCCCATGGACTATGCTTCCCAATCTTTATTGCAATACAATTTAGAAAAATTTTGTAGAAAAAATCTATGATTCCAGTGAATCCAATGTGCACTTTGTGTGAATTTACATTAGGGCAGAGGTTATATATCACACTTAACATATACACATTTGTTTACCATTTAACACACACACTGATCCAGGCACAAATACACACAAACATACACCAATAACTGAACTGTGTTTCTTTAAGGTGTTGTACTTCCAAAGATTCTCTGAGGTCACATAAAAAGTTGGATGGATATATTGTAACTCTGGAATAAGCATATGAAAACAAAGAGCAATCCCACTACAAGAAATAACGATGTAACTCATAAATAACTGTCGCTTTATCTCCACTCCTGAAGCCACAGGTATTATGTTTTTGGCATATGACACAGAATGAGCTTCTCTGAGTTTTCTCAAAGAATCTACTGACAGAAAGACAGTTTTTGGAGATTCAGACAGATTAAGGTTGATGTGAGGGTTCCTAATGCTTTGATCTGAAGTAGAAGCAATATATTCATTAACTCTACTTTTTTCTTGGTACAAATAAAGTCAGAGATTGGAACTGGTTCAAGTTCACACTTAGAAATACAGCAGAGCTTCTTGAAGAAATACTGACTCCTAGTGGTAACGTCATTTTCTCATGTTTGTTTTATAAAGCACTGGAGTATAGTATAGGAGCTCTTGTGGCATAGTGCCTAAGGCTTTTGACTGCTAACCAGAAGGCTGGTGGTTCAAACCTACCAGCCCCTTCTCAGAAGGAAGACTGGGCAATCTACTTCCATAGAGATATTGCCTAGGAAACCCAAGGAGGGGTCGCTATGAGTAAGAATCGACTCGACAGCAGTGAGTTTAGTTTGGTTTGAAGTGCAGTATATTTAGTCATTATGCTATTCCTCACAATTTCAAATTACACTTAGATAAATGTTCTAATGAATTTCAATTTGATAATTAGCATTTCCCATAAAATCATGCCACAAACTCTCCTTTGCTTTAGAAACTTAATTCCTCTTCTGAACAAAATGGCAACCACTATTTCCTATGTGCAATTAGTAGCAGTCCTTAGATTAAAATAAAACAAAACAAAATTTAAGTAACTAAATGATAAACTTCATCCTTACAACATATTATTTCCATCATACTGATTTTAGCATGTGTCAGTTATGTTAGAATCAAATGAAAATCATTTGGCTCTGAATAATAGTAAAAATATACCCCAAAGATGAATGTGCCACTGTACTCCTTTTGGTTTTTAATTAAGTGAGTTAAAATGCTCTCTTGCCATCAGTTTGGAAGGGAGACAGGAAACATTTATGCAAAAATCCAGTCCAGTATCTGTAAAATACATAGAAATCCAATATGAGAACTTTACTAGTGCTATCAGAATATCAAGGTAAGGATCATAAACTTTATCAAAGTCTTTTTATATATGAAAAATTTAAAGCAACTGTAAAGACTAAAAATAATATTAATTTTGTTAAAAGTAACCTTAAGAAATATTAAGATATATGCTAATGCGGCAGTGCTAAATCACTCATGAAATATTTTTGTATAACTCTTAACTAAGCTATCTCTGAATAAATACTAATTTAATGAAATTATTTTCACTCTTGCTCTATGACAATAAACCAAGGGTCAGTAAATTACAACCTGCAGGTCAAATCTGGCCCATCACCTGTTTTATCTATAAATACAGTTTTATTAGAATACACCCATACTCATTCATTTCTACATTTTTGGTGTCTCCTTTTGCTCTACAACAGAATTGAGTAGTTTCCACAGAGACTGTATGATCCTCAAAGCCTAAAATATTTACTATCGAAACTTTATAGCAAAAACTGACCAATCGCTGCTACAGACAGTCAGTTGGCAATCTAGTTGAAAACTAAGCCAGTTCATGTGTTTGAGGATTTCTCATTCTAGAATTTAGAATTTTATACATAAAAACCAGTCACAAAATATTATATTTATCAATCTCAATATCATACATAAAATTATCTTTTATTATAAGTTGTCATTAAAATTTTAGAACTGGTATTAAAAAGATGCTATGATGAGGCCTTTATCAAAAGACTACAGAACCCTATGTGGTTCCGGTCTCTAGTAGTCGAGGACCTTCCATTCAATTCTCAGTGTTACACTTGCTCTTTTGAGTCTCTTGCAACTCCCAGTCTAGTTCCATTTAAACTCACTGCCGTTGAGTCGGTCCCGACTCATAGCAACCCTTCCTTGAGTTTCCAAGGCAGTATCTATATGGAAGTAGATTGCCCAATCGTCCTTCTGAGGAGTGGCTGGTGGGTTTGAACTGACAGCCTTCTAGTTAGCAGTCAAATGCTTAAGGCACCCACCAGAGCGCCTAGTTCCATTTAGGAATATAAAATTACTTGGTTAAACATTACTCAAAAGTTAAATTACTTAAGTGAACCAGTATGGTTGGAATATTATACTACTTTTTCCTTGGCAGAAACCTAAGTGATAGAAACATGAAGATAAAAATCAATGTTCCAAGTTCCCTTTAAGGGATTACTAACAAATCCCCAGTGCTCAATTAAGTAATCAAAATTGGACAAGGGCTTAGAGAGCAGCTAAGTAACTCCACTGATCCTGAAAATAAGGGTCCAGACCAAAGTCATCAAAGGACCTTCCTGCACACACCCTCTACTCTAGCTCATTAGTGACAGGGCTAGAACTAGCATTTTAGTTTCTGATTTCTAGATCCAGTCCCCTTTTCTTATTACTCATTTTTCCTCACTGTATATGTTCTGGTTAGCTAGTGCCACTCTAGGAGCTCTGGTAGCATAGTGCCTAAGGCATTTTACTGCTAACCAGAAGGCTGGCGGTTTAAACCCACCAGCCACTCCTCGGAAGGAAGGTTGGGCAATGCTACTTCTGTAGTGATACTGCCTCAGAAACCCAAGGAGGGGTCACTATGAGTCAGGGCCGACTCGACGGCAAATAACAACAACAACAGTGCCACTCTGCCAGGAATATACCACAAATGGGATGGCTTGAACAAACAGCAATTTATTCTCTTATAGTTTGGAGGCTTTAAGTCTGAGTTCAAAGTGACAGGCTCTAAGAGCTGGATTAAAGTCCCTCAACCTTGGGCTTCAGCTCTGCCTCCTGCTCCCTGCTCACTGAAGCTAGAGGCTTTTCTTCACTCAGACAGCTACTGACTGCTGAGACTGACAAGCTCAAGGTTGACTAGTAAAAAGGCACAGTCCCAGTGTTACCAAACCACATGGCAGGCCATTAGTTCAAGTCCATTGAAAGTCCAAAGGTCAGCAGAGCATGGCAGGCTGCTGAACAACGACACAGCTACATGCAGGGTTCAAGCATGCCATAAGCTAGAGACCATTCCCCAAGGCTTCTCCTTCTATACAGGAAGCAGACAACATCCTTAAGGCAGCTACACAGCTACTCGCAGTAGATTCCACCATGGAGTTGGTTACTAATCTCATCATGGGGAATACTACCATCATCTGCTCAGGCACTCAACCAGGCCCAGCCAAGTTGACACACAAACTTAACCACCACAGTATATATGAAAGAATTTTTCAAATATTATGCATTATAAAATAATGCATTGTTAATATTATTTAATGTTATTTATCTAGCTTTACAGAAAGATTTCAAAAATCAAAAGAATAAAAAAATGAAAGATATAGGGATGTTATATGAGGAAATGTACAGATATCAAGTACATAGTAGAGATAAAGGGAATACATACAGGAATTTTTAAAGAATAATTTTTTATTTCTATGCTCTCAGCATATTTATGTCTAACTAGAAAAAGCAATGTGCTAGTGAGAACAGAGCATGCCACTGAAAATGGACTTTTCTCCCACTATTGCTTCACTAAAAGGGAGAAGCTTAATTTTTCCTGTAGAAAACAAAAAGGAACAAAGCTAAATATAATTAATTACTAGGTGCCTAAAGTATGTGACTGCTAACCAGAAGGCTGGTGGTTCAAACCCACCAGCCACTCCTCGGAAGGAAGGTTGGGCAATCTACTTCCACAGAGATACTGCCTCGGAAACCCAAGGACAGGTTACTATGAGTTGGATTCAACTTGACGGCAGTGAATAACTACTAGGTTGTTGTTGTTGTTGTTGTTATGTGCCGTCGAGTCGGCCCCGACTCATAGCGACCCCTCCTTGGGTTTCCGAGGCAGTATCACTACGGAAGTAGGATTGCCCAACCTTCCTTCCGAGGAGTGGCTGGTGGGTTTGAACCGCCAGCCGTCTGGTTAGCAGGCAAGTGTCTTAGCCACTATGCTACCAGAGCTCCCAACTACTAGGTTAGTCCCTTATAATTTCCTAATCAATTAATTACTAAAAAAAGGGGGGGGGAAGGTTAAAAGAGAGAGGGATTGAGAGGGAGGAGTGAGAAACTACTGTACCTCATCATCTGATGGTTATGAAGCCGATCTGTGTACCAAAACTAAGGCCATCTCGAACGTGGGAGAAAAATTTGTTATGATGGCAAGATGTACAGAGGTTGAGATCTTGGTTCTGGTCCTGAATATTCTGTGGATGAATTCCTCCTCGTTCTAGAAGAACCCTTAGGATAAAGATTTTTCAAAAGATAGCATGAGTTTTTTTGGCCAACAGCCAAAACAATAGGAAAAAGTATGGATGGATATTGCAAAAGAGTTCTGGGAAAGGTCTGCTTGGAACAATACTGACTGCTATTCAGTCATAGACTAGTCAGGAAGTGGTAGATTTTATTAGCATTTATCATGTAAGTCATACATGAACAACATAGCCTTCCATATTGTTTGGCAGACATGATCTGGGTACAGAATTTTATAATTAAAATCAATTACTAGTTCAAGTAGAAATGTCTAGAGTTACCAGGTATTTGGAGACAAGAATCATTTGATTCAAACACAGCATGCATTTTAGTCTTATGGCCTTCCCATCTCCTTTCTCCTACTAACCATATTTTCCACTGAAAACTTGCTTATCCATAAACACTTTATATGAAATATGACTACCAATTAGTGATACTTATTTCACAAGTCACATTTAAGAATCAATTTCAATTCTTTAATACTTATGTACTCACTAAGGCAGAATATGGACAAGGTTTTACTGACCAAAATGTAAACGTGATTTAATCAGGCAGCAATTTTCCTTTGTAGATATGACAAATATATTTTTGACATGTATTAATAGCAGGTTGGGCAATCTACTTCCACAGTGATACCGCCTCGGAAACCCAAGGAGGGGTTGCTGTGAATTGGATCTGACTCGACAGCAGTGAATTTTTAATAGCAGCCAAAGCGTTGGTGGTTTACTGGTTAGCACAGCTGCCTTCCAGATAATATCAGCAAAACTTCATAAATTCATGAATGCAAGGCACCACAAAAATGTGCCTTGAAAATGTCTGTGTGTTTATATTACTGAATATTTTTATTAAGAAATCTATTCCTCTAGTTAAAAGAGTAAGAATCATTTAAAAATACTAGCTTCCTCACAGTTTATTATAATTAAGAGAATTTAGCTAAGGAATGGTTGCAAAGTATAGTACATGATAACTTATATATGAAGTTAAAGTAGATCTCATAAAACTATATGTCAATTGTTTCTTCCTTCACTTTTATGTCAATAAGAGATACCAGATAGGAAAATTTGTTATTTAAACTGAACTGAGAACAGATTTCAGATATAAAGCGAGTTTTTGTGAACATATATATGTCAGCTATTTTTAAATGTCTGTTGTTGTTGTTGTTATGTGCCGTTGAGTCGTACCCAACTCATAGCGACCCCTCCTTGGGTTTCTGAGGCAGTATCACTATGGAAGTAGATTACCCCATCTTCCTTCCGAGGAGTGGCTGGTGGGTTTTAAATGTCTAGCACCTGAATTTTCCTTGGAGTTCCTAATTGTTTTCTGAAATGATTTTGGCTTTAAAAGCAATAAGCAATAAGCAATAAGCATGCTTGCAGTTCCAGAACGAAATAAAAAATACCTGGTGGCTGTACGGATGTCAATATACGGATTTGGTGAGTCAAACAGTCGTACACATTTGGGATCAAGATTATGAAATGCCTTTGCTGTTTCCCTTGGAAGAGTAAAACAGCAAGGTCCCACGGAAGGGCCCAGTACAACAATAATGTCTTCCAAATTACAGCCATATTCTGCTATCATGGCATTCACTGTAGCCATAGCAACACCTAACAAAGTACCTCTCCAACCTGGTAAACAAGAACAAAAAGAGGAAAGGAAAGTTAAAACATAACAAAATTTCACCTTAATTTACATCTGAGTTAAAAATGAACAGTGTTAGTTTGTGTATTTTTTCAAAGTCCATAAACAGCACATGAATCACAAAATTAATTATGATCATACTGGTTTTTAAATGAGATATGCTCTATAAAGCACATGATAAAGAAAAGACATTTAGTAAGAGTTCCCTTCCACTTCCATTTAAAAATATCCTATAATTTAACTTTCCTCTGGGATTATACCTTCTTGGTCTTTTCTCTCTCCCCTTCACTTTTCATAATAAAATAAATCTATTCTATTTCAATTAACAGTCCTTTTTCACATCCTCCCCCATTTGCCCAATTTTCCCTTCCAATGGATCTCATGGTTGTTCTAAGATCAAACTATTTTCTTTACTCTCACTGTCATCCAGTTACCAAAGACAGAAATCTAGGAATATGTTTAGTAACAAATAATATTCCTATTTTATATCCAGGAACTGAGATTCAATTGTAAACTAACTTTTGACAACATCATATGGCAAACCTGCCTTCTAGTCATCACATTCCATTTACTTGTTGTTGTTGGGTCCGTCCAGTCAGCTCCAGCTCATAGCAATCCTATGTACAAAAGAACAAAACACTGCCCGGTCCTGTGCCAGCCTCACAATACTTGGTATTCCTGAACTACATGTGAGCCCGTCATTGCAGTCATTGTGTCTATCCATCTTGTTGAGGACCCTCCCCTTTTTTGTTGACCATCCACTTTACCAAGATGATATCCTTTTCCAGGGAATGGTCCCTTCTAACAACATGACCAAAGTAGGTGAGATGAAGTCTGGCCATTCTCACTTCTGAGGAGCATTCTGGTTGCACTCCTTCCAAGATAGATTTTTTAGTTCTTTGGCAGTCCATCGTACTTTCCATATTCTTTGCCAGAACCACAACTCAAAAGCATCAACTCTTCTTCAGACCAGCTCTCACATGCATATGAGCTGATTGAAAATAGCATGGGTTGGGTTAGGCACTCTTTAGTCTTCAAAAGGACATCTTTGCTCTTCAGAACTTTAAAGAGCTCTTTTGCAACAGATTTGCCAGTGCAATATGTCATCTGATGTCTTGACTACTGCTTCCATTGGTACTGATTGTGGAACCAAGTAATAAGAAATCTTTGACAACTTCAATCTTTTCTCCCTTTATCGTGATACTGCTTATTGGCTCAGTTGTGAGGATTTTCATTTTCTTTATGTTGAGATGTAATCCATACCGCAGACTGTAGTTTTTAATCTTCATCAGTAAGTGCTTCAAGTCATCCTCACTTTCAGCAAGCAAAATTGTGTCATCTGAATAGTACAGGTTGTTATTGAGTCTTCCTC